GGCTGCGGTGGCCGGGAACGGCCACTGCACTCCAGTCTGGGCGACAGAGTGAGACTCAAACTCAAAAAAAAAAAAAAAAATTTTAATTTTGATGTTGTCTAACTTGTCTTCTATTTTGTCACGTGTGCGTCTGGTGTTGTGTTACTGCTATTCTGTAAGGGAGGGTTGATTATGCCTTGAATCTAACATTCAAGAACAGAAAGTGAGATGCCATTAACAGGCTGCTAGTGCTGGAGGGGAAGGGGGTGTGTTTCAGGTTGGGATGTACTTGGGCACCAAAGACAGTAAGTTCCGTTTCAGGTATGTTGAGTTTAGGGTATGGAGGGCCAAGCACAGAAAAATAGGTGGACAGCTGGCAACTCAGACCTGGAGGGAAGAAGTCCAAGATGAAGCTGGGCTCGGTGGCTCAGCCTGTAATTCCGTGCCTTTGGGAGGCTGAGGTGAGTGGATTGCCTGACCTGCGGGTTCGAGACCCGCCTGGGCAGCGAGACCTCATCTCTACAGTAAATCAAAAAATCAGCCGGGCGTGGTAGCTCGTGCCTGTAGTTCCATTTACGTGGAAGACTGAGGCGGAAGGATTGCCAGAGCCCAGCAGGTCGAGGCTGCGGTGGCCGGGAGCGGCCACTGCACTCCAGTCTGGGCGACAGAGCGAGACTCCAACTCAAAAAAAAAAGAAGTCCAAGATGAAGAAGGGGAATGGGGAAGGGTCCTTCTAGAAGGGACCAGTGAGGCTGTAAGCACAGATGAGGTCCCCCCAGTGGCAACAGCATCCGAGAGAAGAGGGAGACCTAAAACAGCCCCTTGAAGATGATGTGTTTGGGAGAGTGTGTGGAGGAATGTCTGGAGGAAATCCAGAGTAGCATTGTGTCATGAGGCCCAGGGCACATGTGTCAAGAAGGAAGATGTGAGCCAGGCACGGTGGCTTATGCCTGTAATCCCAACACTTTGGAAGGAAGAGGCGAGAGGATTGCCTGAGCCCAGGGACTTGAGACCTTGTCTCAACAGTAAATCAAAAAATTCACTGGTGTGGTGGTGCATGCCTGTGGTTCCAGCTACTTGGAAGCCTGAGGCAGAAGGATCGCCAAAGCCCAGCAGGTCTACTTGGGGTGGCCATGAGCCTGCCACTGTACGACAGCCTGGGCGACAGAGTGAGACTCCAACTCAAAAAGCAAACAAACAAAAAGGTCCCAACCACCACCCCGCTGCTGACCTTGACTTGGTTTTTTTGTGTTCCAGCTGATGCTCTCTGAGTGGTTGATTGACGTCCCTTCGGATCTGGGGCAGGAGTGGATTGTGGTTGTGTGCCCTGTCGGAAAAAGAGCCCTCATCGTGGCCTCCAGGGTGAGTAGCTATCTCCTGCTCCCAAGGCAGCAGGTGTGGTCTGCAGCAGGTGGGGGTTCTTGGCACTCACTTCCTCATCTGCCACAGTTGTTGTGCCTGGGATGGGTCTGGAGATGATGCAGGAAGGTGCATCAAGAGCCACCTTCAGACTGATGACACCTCTGAGAATGAGGAAGCAGGAGCGTGAGAATGACCGGTGCCACAGCTCATGCCTTTAAACCCAGCACTTTGGGAAGCCAAGCCAGGAGGGTCACTTGAAGCCAGGAGTTTGACACCAGTCTGGGAAACATAGCAAGACCCCATCTCTACCAAAAAAAAAAGGAAAATAAAAGGGACAGGGAGTTCTCATCGCCTCACGAGAATGCTGCCTCTCTCCACAGGGCTTGACCAGTGCCTACACCAAGAGCGGCTACTGTGTCAACACTTTTCCTTCCCTCCTGCCAGGAGGCAACAAGAGACACTCCACCGCGGCGAAAGGTACCTGCGTAAAACGTCTGTTTATTAAGTTTTATAATCAGGAAAAGGCAGTGTCAGTTTCTTTTAAAATCCACTTTGAGGCCAGGCACAGTAGCTCACGCCTGTGATTCCTGCACTTGGGGAGGCCGACTCGAGGATTCTCTGAGCCCAGTGGCAGCCTGGGCAACTTGGCAAAATCTCATCTCTACAGTAAATAAAAAAAACGGATGGAGTGGTGGCATGCACCTGTAGTTCCAGCTACTTGGAAGGCTGAGGCAGAGGGATTGGATGAGCCCAGCACACTGAGGGTGCAGGTAACCATGAGCGTGCCACTGTACTCCAACCTGGGTGACAGAGTGAGACTCCAACTCAAAAATAAAAAACTCACTTTGAAAGCATACCTTATATACCTCTGATACAATTCCAAGGCCTCTCAGCAAAAGTTGTGTTTTTTTTGAGTTGGAGTCTCACTGTTTCCCCCAGGCCGAAGGCAGTGGCACGCTCCTGGTCACCACAGCCTCCACCTGCTGGACTCAGGTGATCCTTCTGCTTCAGCATTTCGAGGAGCTGGAACCACAGGCATGTGCCACCACGCCCGACTAATTTATTGATATATTGTAGAGATGAAGTCTCACCAAGTTGCCCAGGCTGGTCTCGAACCCGAGGGCTCAGGCAATACTCTTACCTCAGCCCCCAAAGTGCTGGGATTATAGAGATGAGCCACTGTGCCTGACAGGCAAAAGATTTTTTAAAAAAAGAAGAGCAAGCCACCACAGCCTCGACCTGCTGGGCTCCGGCGATTCTTCCACCTCAGCCTTCCAAGTAGCTGGAACTACAGAAATTCCATCTCTTAAAAAAAAAAATGAGTTAGGCTCAGTGGCTCAGCCTGTAATCCCGCGTCTTTGGGAGGCTGAGGTGAGTGGATTGCCTGAGCCCGCAGGTTCATGACCCGCCTGGGCAACTTGACGAGACCTCATCTCCACAATAAATCAAAAATTAGCTGGGCGTGGTAGCGCACGCCTGTAGTTCCAGCTACTTGGAAGGCTGAGGCAGAAGGATCGCTGGAGCCTAGCAGGTTGAGGCTGCGGTGACTGGGAGCGGCCACTGCACTCCAGTCTGGGTGAGAGAGTGAGACTCCAACTCCAAAAAAAAAATGAACCAAGTATAGTGGTGGGCACCTGTAGTCCTAGCTACTCGGGAGACTGAGGCAGAAGGATCGCTTGAGCTATGGAGTTTGAGGCTGCAGTGAGCTTTGATCAAGCCACTGCACTCCAGCCTGGGTGGCAAAGTGAGACTATGTCTGTAAAAAAAAAAAAAAAATCTATCAATCAATTAAACTTCCCTGAGGTGAGTAAGCCTCCCAGTTTATCTAAAGCTGCCAAATTTCCACTTGGCTTAAGGATCGCCTTGGTCCCTCTTGGGCTGTCCTGCCTCAGATCACCCTTAAGCTGGACTAGGTGGTCAGGAAGGACCGAGAAGAAATCTCTCCCTAAGGAGTCCTCAGTCCTTGTCGCTGGCAATGGCTGGACTCCAGCCTCTGAGCAGGCCTCTCTGACTGTGACAGAGGGAGCCCAGCCTGGAAGGGGAACCCTGCCCTGACTTTCTGCTCCATGTTCCCAGACTACACCATTCTCGACTGCATTTACAGCGAGGTGAATCAGACCTACTACGTCCTGGACGTTCTGTGCTGGCGGGGCCACCCTTTCTACGACTGCCAGGTGAGCACCGATTCTCCTCGGGTCTTTCCAGGCTCTGTCCTCCCAAGAAAGGGGCTCCCCTGTGGGCTTGGTACGTGACCAGCTTCTTGGCATGTGCAGGATGTGCTATATTGGGAACATGATCTCACGCGCCCTGCATCTTTGAGTTTAAATTAGCTGAGTTTCAAAAGAGAATTAGCAGGAACTGCGGGATAAAGGCCGTTATTGAGAGGAGGCAAAAGGCAGTGGAGGCGTGAAGGGGGGGCACTACGTGGCAGCTGTGCTGCCCCCTCATCTCTCACCAGAGCGTGGGAGGATCACTGGAGGGACCAGTGGGCGGGTGGAGTATGTCACCTTGTGCAGGCAGCCCAGGAAGAGAAGGGGAATGTAAGTCACCATCGAACAGACTCCCACCACCTCTGCCCCTTCCTAGCTACATCCTGACCCTGAAATGGCAGGGCCTCCTTGATCGACAGAGCTTCAAACCTCAAAGGCTGGCTCTCTGGGGAGACTTCCTGAGTGCGGAGAGGTTCCCACATTCTCCCCCTAGTTTTACCTTCCTCCCTGTGTTTTTCTCACATTGGTGATTCTTACGGGTGACAGCAGCAGTCATCCGTGAGGTTCAGACCCACAAGCCTCCGTCTCTCTTGGCAGCACCCCCTATCATGGTCTCAGTTATATTTGTTCATTTTTGTTTTTTGAATTGGAGTCTCACTCTGTTGCCTAGGCTGGAGTGCATTGGCACACTCATGGCCAACATGGCTTCGACCTGCTGGGCTCAGGTGATCGTTCTGCCTCAGCCTTCCAAGTAGCTGGAACTATAGGCAGGTGCTACCACTCCTGGCTAATTTTTTTATTTATTGTAGAGATGAGGTCTTATCAGGTTGCCTAGGCTGGTCTTGAACCTGTGGGCTCAGGTACTCCTCTCACCTCAGCCTCCCAAAGTGTTGGGATTATAGGCGTGAGCCACCACACCTAGGCTGGTCCCTGTTGTATAATAGTGGCTTGTTGTTATTGAGTTAGGGTTTCACTATGTTGTCCAGGCTGGAGTATAGTGACATGGTCATGGCTCACTCTAGCCTTGGCCTCCTAGGCTCAGATTATCCTCCTACTTCAGCCTTCCGCATATCTGGGACTACAGGTATGTGTCACCACACCGGGCTAATTTTTTTATTTTTTTTGTTTCTTTTATTTTTTTTTTGAGTCAGAGTCTCACTCTGTCACCTAGGCTGGAATGCAGTGGCTTGCTTATGGCCACCACAGCCTCAACCTGCTGGGTTCAGGCGATCCTTCTGCTTCAGGCTTCCAAGTAACTGGAACTACAGACATGTGCCACTACATCTGGCTAATTTTTTGATTTATTATAGATACGAGGTCTCGCCCTGTTGCCCAGGCTGGTCTCGAACCCTTGGGCTCAGGCAGTCCTCTCTCCTCTGCCTCCCAAAGTGCTGGGATTACAGAGCCACGCCTACATCCCAGAATATAACTTCAGTCTAGAATGCATTTTCCTTTAATTCAGTTGGAGGATGTTTCATAACATGTATGTAACTAATCTACGAATTCAGTAACTAAAACTATCTATATTTTTATAAAGAAAAGACTGTGGTTGGTTGCAGTGGTTCATGCCTGTAATCCCAACAATTTGGGCGGCCAATGTGGGAGGATCACTTGAGCCCAGGAGTTCAGGACCAACCTGGACAACACTAGTGAGTCTAACAACACAAAAATAGCCAGATATGACGACTTATGCCTGTAGTCCCAGTTACTTGAAAAGCTGAGATAGGGAGATTTCTTGAGCCCAGGAGTTTGAGATTACAGTAAGCTATGATCACACCACTGCATTCCATTTTGGGCAACAGAGCAAGACCCTGTCTTAAATAAATAAATACTAAAATATAAAAGAAAAAACTGTATGTGTTTTCTTTTTTTTTAATTTCCAAAAGTAAGACCATTTTTTTCCTTTCAAATAAAGTTTTACTCATAGCACTTTTATACAAAAGATACATGCATTTGATACAACTTTCTCATTACACATTGAGTGCTTTAATATTCTCTCTACTCTAGCGTCCAAATGAAATCAAATATTTTTCTGGGATATTTCTGGATTTATCAGGCACATGACTAGATTAGAGATCCAAACATTTTTAGTAAACTAATTTCTTCTTTTTTTTTTTTT